GCCTCTGCCTTCAGCTCAGGTCATGATCTCAGGGTCCCGGGATTGAGCACCACATTGGGCTCTCTGCTCCTCAGGGAGCCTGCTTCCCCCCACACCCCCCCGCGCACCGCCCCCGCCTGACTCTGTCTACTTGTCATCTCTTTCTCTCTGTCAAAAAATAAAGTCTTTAAAAAAGAATACTTTTTAAAAGCAGTTACTTGGTGTGCCAGGTATTTCTAAATAAATATTTTTCTTTTATCTAAACCCCTTTTCTTTTAAAAAACATTTTAGCAAAATTAAACTATTTCCAGAAGCTTCAAAAGGTCAATGCAACCCACTTTGAGGCCCTGGCTACAGAGTTTGGAGGCGGATCCTTCACTTCAACATTCCAAACCCAGTCACCACCACCTCATTACAGGGTGAGCCTGGGGATAGGGACGGGATTGTTTGGTGTGGTTTTTCCCTCATGGCTGACAGTTGACCAGGTATCCTTGAGGTACCCCCCCTGCAACGGGGTCAACTCTTTTAGAAGACAGTATTATCCACATTCATAAGCCCTTGAGTTAATTTTTGTCTCTACTTTTTTTTTTCTGGTGGAGTTCAGTCCAATCTTACTGTGAATGAATTTCTACTGTACTTTGTTCAGGCTGGGGACTCCATTTTGACTTACTTCCCCACGTGGTCTGTAATCAGCTTGCTGAGGCAGCCTGCGGGAGTTGGAGCTTGGGGGCTCTGTGCTGAGAACAATCCTGCAGGTGAGTCCAAAACAGAAGTGCCAACCTTTTTATTCCACTTAAAATAGGCTTTCTTAGAAATTGCTTAAAAAAAAAAACTATCTAAAAATTGCTTTTCACAAAAATAAAATAGGTTTTCTCTTTTATCACTGCCTTAATTCTTTGCATTCTAAGGTTTCCTGGAGAGTAAAAGTACAACCTGTGCTCGTTTCTTCAAGAACTTGACAAGTAGCTGCACCTTGGATCCAGCCCTCAATGCTGCCTCTTATTATAACTTCACAGTCTTAAAGGTGGTATTCCTTCTCTCCCTGCTGTCACTCTTGTGGACAAAGTCAGCATGCTTCCTGATGTTGGGTTGTGGATAAAGCACTGAACTAAAAGTCAGAATGCCTAAGAACTACATAAAAAAAACAGAGGGCCCAGAAACCCTACCCTCTGAAGAAAGATGAAAGAGTTGGGGAATATATGTCCAGAATAAGAGATTCTTCCCTTCTGGATAATGGGATTGGCTTGGGAGGGTGGCAGGGGATGACATTTCACTATTTTACCAAAACCTCTTGCTTTTCTGTTCACTAGAGCTCTGCTCAGAGTAGGTATGCCCAACCCTCCCCCCTCAGCTTTACTCACAGCATTTTGGTATAAAGAGTCAGTTAGAAGAGAAGAATCATTCTAATGTGTTGATTTTTCCTCCCCGCACGTGAAACCACAAGCTCCTGGATATTTTCTGTGAGGTGTATACATACTCACAGTTCTTGCTACTCTCTAATTCTAGGTTCCAAAAGGTATGACTGATCTGCAGAATTTGAAGGTATGATACTGTTTATCACTGGAAAGGAAGGAGACTGTTTGATCCCTTTGCATCTGAGTCAATTTCAGTCTAAAGTAATTGTGAAAGGAAATCTATGTGTGATATATCAAACTCTTAAGTGTGAATCTAAAACATTTTTTCCCATGTATGTTCTATATGATTAATAAGCATTACATGAAATACAAGTTCGTAAAATGTTAGATAAGTTTGGGAAACATTGGATTAAGTAAAGTTAAATACTATATTTAGAGTGGACTTCTTGGAGTCTTTAATGTACTAAAGGACTTGGTACTCTCTAAGAGGGGAATACCGAATATAATATTTCTAAAATTTATTTGGGGTCACCTTGCTGGTTCAGTAGAGTTTGCAACTCTTGATTTTGGGGTTGTGAGTTCAAGCCCCACACTGGATGTAGAGACTACTTAAGGGAAATAAAAACTTTTTTAAAAACTCACAAAATTTTGTAAAATTTATTTGACTGTGGAACCTTTATTTTATACCTAGTGGAATTAATGTTCTGAGAAATAGGTATTGAGAAGAGCTGACTTAAAATCATATTTGATCTTAACTTGTAGGCTGGCAATGGAAGGAGAGGGGAAGGTGGTCAAAAATGAAAAATACTCATTTCAGCATGATATATAGCTAGAAGAGAAAATACTGCTTTGATTTCAGTTGATTTGCTTCTTTCCCTTGCTAGTTCCAGGTTCCTGTAACCCTTGTCTCAGAAGCTGATCCTCCTTTCTTGTCTGGAAACACTTGTCAGAATGTGGTTTCCCAGGTGAGGACACTGACGTCAGCTTCTGGATTGATGTTTGTTGATCAACATTACCAGAGGTGCCTCATCTTCCATTAAATACCAGACCAACCCCACATGAATGTTTGTGCATGGAACTTAACATGTCAAGAACTGAACCCATTACCTTCCCCTTCCTACCATATTTCAGTTTCCATTGCTACCATCCTCCAGTATTTCATATACAAAAGATTATGATTACTTTTGACTCTTCTTTCTTTACCCATTTGCGGTTTATTATAGTTCTTACCACATTTTCTTCTGTTGACAAAATCAGTATCATCTGAAAATTCTGAAATAGAAGAGTCAACTTCTTTTCCTCCTCTCCCTTTTGATCATCCTACAGAAGGAAGAATTATCTTAAGCGTCATTGTAAAGACTACTCAGAAATCGAAGGTTACCTTCAATTGCTTATGACTTCCATCTCTAGCTGTTATCTTCATTCATCCTCAGACATTGGGAGAGCCAAATAAACTGGGTGTCCATTCCATGCTCCCTCTCTACTCATCTTCTCTGCACACAGTCAAAACTCATTTTTTTCCCCTTTCAATCCTTACCATAAACTTCTCCCATGAACCCTTTCAAAGAGCTCTATCCAGTCTGTTTTTCAAATGTAGATATATGAAGTCTTTCTCTTCATGGCATTTGTGTTTGGTATTTTTAAGATTACTTGTTTAGTCTCCCTCATTCAGTTATTTCTTTTATTGAGATATAGTTGACATATCATTAGTTTTAGGTGTAAAACATGATTTCATATATACATACATATACACACACAAAAATACACATATAGTGAAATGATTACCACGGTAAGTTTAGTTGATATTCATCACTACACAGTTATACGTTCTTCCTTGCAATGAGAACTTTTAAGACCAACTCTCTTAATGACTTTCAAATATACAATAAATTATTATTAACTATAGTCACTATGTTGTACCCTCATGCAGGTATAATAAAACTCTTAGAGACAGAAAATCTTCTGTATAATTGGCCCATTAAATAATTTATATTAATTGATTTCTACTTTTGTATTTCAGGTCATCTATGAGATAGAGACGAATGGGACTTTTGGAATCCAGAAAGTCTCTGTCAGTTTTGGACAAACCAACCTGACTGTCGAGCCAGGCACTTCCTTAGAGCAACACTTTATCATTCGCTTCAGGGTTAGAACCCTTCTTCTATGGGGGACTAAGGGGAGCAGAAATACTGAATTAGAAATTAGAAATTCAGTATTTCTGTGCTTCTGTGATGCATGCAGAATAGATTAAGAATATGAAGGCCTAAGGTTCCACACCCAGCCTAAAAAAAAAAGGCCTACAATCTGTCAGTTGAGGCTTCAGCATTTAGTATTTCATAATTTAACTACAAACGATATTTAACAACATTTATTCAGTAACATTTTCTCAGATTATCTGGCCCCCCAATGAAGCAGTATTTTAGTCTCAAATCCAAACTCCATTTTTAGAAAAAAATAGTCACTTTGAATCATAAACTCAGCCAACCTCCCACAGAAATTCTTTAACTACCTTTTCTTATATTTTTGCGTGTTCAGCAGGTTATTGTTTCACACTTTTACTCTTTATATTTCTGCATTATTTGAGTTTATATACTTACAACAAATTTTTGCTTGTGTATATTTGTGAACATGACAAAATATAATGTGACAGCAGTCAGCATTTTATTCATTTCCCACTTAATCTAACTTTCCAATCCTGATAACTATCTTTTGACTTTCTTCTGCTGCTTCTTTTTGAACCTAGCAGACTCTTGTTTCTTCTTCACTCTCCCCTCAAGTGATCAACCAAGTCCCATGTCTCTTAGTTTATCTCTGGAACATCTGTAGTTAATTAAAAGATACTTCTAAATTACGTTTAAATTCTTCTCATTTTAGCCAGGCTGAACATAGCCCTCAATTGACAGTAATTTTTGAGAAACAGGGTTGGTCCATCCTTGGTTGTAATCCTTAGAAGAATTTTAAGATCACTTAGGACCTATTTTAGTGAATAAAAAGTAAAACACGGAAGTTTTGCAAGAAACTTCTGCAAAATGCTCCACTGTGGAAGGGAGCCAGATTGTTCAGTGCAGCGGCCTTACTGCTTTGTGATAAAGAAGGGTATGAAGCCAGGCATTGGAAGGTGTGAGAGCATGCTTTCCTCTGTAAGTGACTTTCCCTCTTTCCGCAGGCTTTTCAACAGAGCATAGCTACTTCTTTTACTCGTCCTAGAAGTGGAAATCCTGGCTATCTTGTTGGGAAGCCACTTTTGGCCATAACTGGTGATTTAAGTCACCCTGTATCCTTTTTTGGAGCTGGGTAGCCTGTTGCAGCCTGATGAGAAAAACTGTGGCTGCTCATCTTCTGGGTATCCCAATTCTGAGGTCCCCTGATTTTTTAGGTATTCAGGACTTTCTTTACTGAGCCATTAATACATTATGTTCTCAAAGTTGTTGCCACCAAAGGCTTTAAAATGTGTTAAACTAGCTGAAGGTAAGGATCATGACTCACTTCCTGTTTGTTTTAATGAAATAGTTTTATACTGTTATGTGGTTAGCCATTTTGGGGGAAATAGTTCTTGTCTCTGTGTGTTTTTCAATTACTAGATTAAAAAACAAATTTGTGACTTGAACAATGTCATGACATTGGTAAAATACAGTGTTAAGGACACAATAAGAGTGTGAATTTTCCAATCTGCCTTCTTTTTATTCTGTTATACTATCCTTGACCATTGCTTTCTGCCTCAGATGACCCTCTTACAGAGTCAGGGTGATGGAATTTGCTCTGTTAAGAGACATGAAGTACAATTTGGAGTGAATGCAGTATCTGGATGCAAGCTCAGGTCACTCTGCTTCTGCATCACTTTCCACAATTTTGTCTCTGTAGAGAATATGTTGATAGGACAACTTTTATATTTTGGATGACAATGCTAGTTAGAGTTTATAATCTAAATAATGTTAATATTGCTAAAAGTTTCCTGACAGTCTTCTATATCTAATAATAAGGATTATTTCCTCTCGTTTACTTTATAGTATCATTTTTAATGTTTGGATTAATATGTTAACATTGAACTGCAGCCTCCGCGGTGTTTCATTTCAGGCTGAAAAAGGTGGCTTGCAGCCACTTACAGCAGGAGACTTATGAGGCTCTTCATGGAAAGACCAGCCCAGAACTTGTTGCCATCTTTGGTAATGCTGACCCGGCCCGGAAGAGTGAGTGGACGAGGATTCTCAGCAGCAACTGCAGTGTTTCGGTGAGGAGACAAATAACACATTCTCACAAAAATTTATTTTCCTCTTTTGTGTGTAAATTATGGATATCAAAATTAAAACCAGTCCTGTTTCTATAGATGATGGGACTCTCCTAGAAGGAAATGTCTTCCTTAACCTTTCACTGCTTCTGTGTCCAAATCCTTGGCTTCACTCAAGTGTGTGCTCAAGGCCAGTGCCTCCATCATGCCTGCCTGGCACATAGATGACTCTCAGCCATTATTCAGTTTTTAATCAATGAATGTCCCTCCATGACATCATATGCTGTTCTACTTGCACACCTTTTTATATGCCATTTCTCTGCCTGAATTTCCTTTACCATCCACCACTTCTTCCAGTCACATACTACTCATCCCCGTCCCATGAAGCCATCCTTAATCAGAAGTGGCAGTTTGTCTTGGCGTTCCACAGCACTGACTATGCACCACTAATAGAACACTTCTCATAACCAGTGTACATGAGCTCACCTTTTATTAATCTCTATGTTAGTCATTCCTATTTTAGAGTATTAATTTTTTAAGATCTAATAGGATGATCTGTTGTGAACTTTTGTGTTCTTTCTCTAAGACATATTACCTTCTCTGTTATATATAATATTTAAAAAACAGTAGCTACTTAATGCATGGTAACTGATTATAGGCAACCATCAGCAATTCAAGCAGATGCTTCTTTACCCTTCTACAGGCTATGCATTGCACTTCCTGCTGTGTCATACCAGTTTCCCTGGAGATCCAGGTATTGTGGGCATATATAGGCCTCCAGTCCAACCCACAAGCTCATGTGTCAGGAGCCCGGTTCCTATACCGGTGCCAATCCGTAAAGGTAAGTCATGGCTCATAAAGGACCACTAAGCCTTGCATTGCCTAGGTTGTCTTACAAGCTATATGATAAGCTGATCACTTTTTTTTTAAAGATTTTATTTATTCATTTGACAGAGAGAGATCACAAGTAGGCGGAGAGGCAGGCAGAGAGAGAGGAGGAAGCAGGCTCCCTGCCAAGCAGAGAGCCCGATGCAGGACTCAATCCCAGGACCCTGGGATCATGACCTGAGCCAAAAGCAGAGGCTTAACCCACTGAGCCACCCAGGCGCCCTAAGCAGATCACTTTTTGACAATGAGAGCCAATTTATGCTACCAGCCAACATTTGGTTTGAATGAGCTGACACAACTTCTAAGTCAGTCCCTCTGGCCGGTTATTGAAATTAGCATGTTGTCATGATAAAAACAATCTGTATCCTTTTCCCCAGTTTCTTTTCTCTTTTAATTTCCTGAACCCAGACTGTAATACAGGTTAATGTCTTTTCAATTATTATACCAGTGTTACTATACCAGTTGATTTAACTACAGAAAACATTCCCCATAACTGTGCATTCAATATGACAGTCACATACTTATCAGAGTCTCTGAGTTTAAAGCTTAATTGCTTTAAGCTTTTGCTGGGGCTAGCTGGTAGTCATCAATTCTTGATTGGTTGCACTCCATTAAGACAGATAATTTTACTACATAGTAAACATATACCTGCTGTTTATGATGTGTGTTAAGATACCTTTAACACATCTGCCTTGATTTTAGTATCTAATCCTTAGCTTTAGAATTGCAAAAACAAAAATGATTAAGTCCCAGTGAACTGATTCACATATAAATTGCATGCCAGTTTATTAACTTCTAATGAAAACTAAAACGAATTGAAATTATTACCTATATGTCATTGCATTTATATCCCAGAAAAGAAATAAACTAGAGACTACATTAGGCCAAAAATAAAATATCTTTAGCTCCTTCTTATAACAGTGTTGAGTACCTTAGAGCTCTTTTCCTACAAATAGGGTTGAAACTCAAGTTACCCGAAATTATTAGTTAGAGCACTCCATTTTTTCTCTGTATTGGTTTACTGAATAAAATAGCAGTATTTCTATAAGACTCTTTGAGTCTGTTACAAATCCTACACTGAATAAATTGTTTTGTTTTTCTAAACTGTATCTTTATTTGCAAGCACCCAGGTAGTTTGGGAAGATACCCACAGGAGTATTCTTTCTCAGAATCTCTGGTTCTCCTAGGCATGGAAGCGACCCAGTGCCTCTCTCTTATGTAGATATTTTAATCATTATTTTATTCTAGTACTTAGGAGAGGTTAGCTTTTTGGGTTAGTTTTCCCCCTCTACAAAATCACACTTTATAGTCGTTCACATCTAACTGGCATAAGTGGTTGACAATTGAGAATTTCAGCTGTGTTTCATTCATGCATAACTGAAGACAGAATCTATTCCAATCATGGACCAAAAATTACCGTGTTGAACGTATAGAGAAGTGGTGTGGGATATACAAAATCATATGCCTTTACTTATGGCGATTTAAAGGATGTGCAAAGGTCATGTTGACTATACAAAAATTGTCACTTTAAGGGCTGACTTGAGAAACTCACCCTCATGAAAGTTGCCATGCCCCTATAAACATAAAAGGAGTTGTGAAACAATAGTGTCATATCAGAAAAGTTAAGTAAATACAAATATTTATTTCTATAATAAAGAGATGATTTTATCATCTGTATCGAAAGACTTTTTTACTTCTTCAGTCATGAGTGGATATTTTCTCCTGAAGTCCTATAAACATACTCACTTTCTCTTAATGCGTTTATATTCTGATTATTTGTCCTCTAATTCAAATCCGTATCCACACAGGCTTGTCTCTCAGGATTTCCCTATGAAATTTTTTTCGTAGAATAGCAAGAGACTATTCAGAGAAAGCTAGTGTGCATGTTCCCAAAGCTTCTAAAGTAAAAAGAAGAGTTAAACTTTCAGAAGATCTATGTCCTGTGATTTTCTCCCTACCCACTGGCCATGTGGCTGGTAGCAGTCTCATGTAGGCTGTGTCAGTCAGCTTCTGTATCTGAGTGAGGGCATGAAAGTAAAGCTGGGGGCGCCTGGGTGGCTCAGTGGGTTAAGGCCTCTGCCTTCGGCTCAGGTCATGATCCCAGAGTCCTGGGATCGAGCCCCACATCAGGCTCTCTGCTCAGCGGGGAGCCTGCTTCCTCCTCTCTCTCTGCCTGTCTCTTTGCCTACTTGTGATCTCTGTCTATCAAATAAATAAATAAAATCTTTAAAAGAAAAAAAAAAAGTAAAGCTGGGTGGCACACTGTAGGCTGTGGGCTAGAGTTAGACTATACACTTTTTTCGTTTTACCCACAGTATTTTGTTTTGTTTAAATTTGTGCCACGTTGAAAAATCAGGAAATTTCATGTTGACATCCAGATTTCTGACTTCTCTTGAAAATCTAGCAATAGCAATCCTACACTCCTGCTTGGCATAAAATCTCTTGTCACTGAATGGTTGTTTCCACTTTTAAATAGAGGGCCCCTTGCACATCACCTATGCCTACCCATCCTTAGCCATCCCACTCTCTCATTCGGGTTCTCTACTTAGAACAGTAAGCATTTGTGTTTATGACCCTTGGAATGAAGCTGCTAGATGGTTAGTTAAATTTTGAATCAAACTGTCTGAATGACTTCATTGTATAGATGTTGCTTTAGAAACACTTTAAATTCCTCTCACTATAAAAAGTGAAGTAGCAAAATTTTTGGAAGTCTCCGAGTTAAAAACAAACTACTAAGCAAGGAAGAATTTAAGCAAAACACTTCCCTGTCTTCTTGTATGATAATAATATCTAAACATTTATTGTCATTTACTTTGTGATAATTACTGGTAGTGTTTTTTACAAATTTCTTTTAATAAATGTTGCATCCTCATAACAAACCCATGAATTAAATAGGGTTTACCTACATGGTACTTTGCTGCTTATAATTTTGTACTAATTGAGCATTTAAAGGGACCTTTAAGTTTGGGAATTAATAAAATACAATATGTATGCTATCTGAATAGAAACTTTTTTAAATTTAAAAATAAAATTATCTCTAGAAAGAAACAATTACTTTTGCAGAATATTCTGGATCAGTCAAAACCAAAACAGTAGAGGGGCCTGTGGCTCATCCGTTAAGCATCTGCCTTCAGCTCAGGTCATGATCCCAGGGTCCTGGGATTGAGCCCTGCATCAGGCTCCCTGCTTGGCGGGAAGCCTGCTTCTCTGTCTCCCACTCCCCCTGCTTGTGTTCTCTCTCTCACTGTGTCTCTCTCTCTTTATTTTTTTTTTTAATTTTTTTTTATTTTTTTTTAAATATTTTATTTTATTTATTTGACAGACAGAGATCACAAGCAGACAGAGAGGCAGGCAGAGAGAGAGGAGGAAGCAGGCTCCCCGCTGAGCAGAGAGCCCGATGCAGGGCTCGATCCCAGGACTCTGAGATCATGACCTGAGCCGAAGGCAGTGGCTTAACCCACTGAGCCACCCAGGCGCCCCTCTCTCTCTTTATTTAAACATAAATAAAATGTTTAAAACACACACACACACACACACACACACAAAACAATAAGTGAGTGACAAGAACAATGTAGCGTCACAGGATCAAGGCTCTGAACCTTTATAGAATTATAATATTTACTTCATCTTTTCTTTTTTAAGATTTTATTTATTTATTTGACAAAGAGAGTGAGATCACAAGTAGGCAGAGAGTCCAGCAGAGAGAAGGGGAAGCAGGCTCCCTGCCAAGCAGAGAGCCCGATGTGGGGCTGGATCCCAAGACCCTGAGATCATGTCCTGAGCTGAAGGCAGAGGCTTAACCCACTGAGCCACCCAGGCGCCCCTATTCACTTCATCTTTATCTTTAAATGGATTATCAAGCTTTTTAGATTATCTTGGAGACGTATTTTTTACAATTTAGGGAGCATGGGTGTTGAGTCAGTCAGACCTAGGTCTAAATCAAGTTATTTTATTTCTCTAAATCTAAGTTTTCTCATTTATAAAATGGAGATTAATAATAATTCTTCATTGAATTGTAAATATTAATTGAGAGCATAAAAGTAAAATAGTACATTTCCTGGCACATAGTGAATACTCAATAAATATTGCTCATCATAACATTGTTATTATTTTTATCATCATAACTTTTTTTGTTCCAAATTTCCATAGAAGTAGCATATTAAGAAGGTTTAAAGCAAAAAAAACCAAAGAGATAAGCAGGCATTAGAGCAATATTTTTCAATTTTTGTTGGCTGTCACCCATGGTAAGAAATGAATTTTACAACATAGCCCACATTATAGCACACACACACGTATAAAACTGAAACAAAAATTTTAGGAAACAATATTTTATGCAATACACTGTGTGATATTGTCTATTCTGTTGTTGATTCTGTTTTTTGTTTAATGCTAGACACTAATGGGTCACAATTTGCAATTTGAAAAACACTTTTAGAAAGTACATCTCTGACTACATTTTATTTTTTTTTAAGATTTTATTTATTTATTTAACAGACAGAGACAAGTAGACAGAGAGGCAGGCAGAGAGGGGGGCGGGAAGCAGGCTCCCCACTGAGCAGGGAGCCTGATGCGGGGCTTGATCCCAGGACCCCGAGATCACGACCTGAGCCGAAGGCAGAGGCTTTTTAACCCCCTGAGCCACCCAGGTGCCCCTCTGACTACATTTTAAAGCTAATGTGAATTCTCTAATTTTGCTTATACATAACTTTTAAAATGCAATAGAAAAACTTGAGTCTTCAGAATTTATGAATAACACACTGAACTTAGAAACCTTGTTCTTCCTGTGGTACTAAAACACAAATTCTAAAATGGGCCAGTAACATTCAGTATTATCCAGTGACCTGGCAAGTGCATTCAAGTTCCTTTTAATTATGGACTGTCTGCTAGACTGTATTGGTTCCAAACCTCCACACAGTTATGGAGGCAATATTTTAATATATGGGGAAAAAAAGGCATTTCATTTGAAATATTAATTTATAGTGCTGAAGGAAGGAAGCACAACCTTTAGGGATCCTAATTACAATGTTGAGAGAATAAGGGGGTCAAACTGATCTGTAACTGCTGGCTATTAAATAGCTATGGTATGCTTTCTTCCTTGTGTTTTATTATCTCTTGCTACTTTGTATTGGTGCCCTATCTCCAAAAATACCTCTACTCCTTTGTCCAAAAAAAAAAAAAAAAAATTGAGTGCCTATTTTGTGCCAAGTGCTATGGTGGATGCTGTAGATATGATGCATGGAAACAAGATAGACATCATCCCTGTCCTCAAGGAAAGCAAAATGCTTTATTTCTGAAATTAATAATTACCTCATATTTTATTTCTTTAGTTTTCTTTGAGCTAAAAGCTAAGACATCTCACACTCTCCAACATTTCTAAAATCTCTCTCAATGCAGTTTTCTAAACAGTTGAACTTGGCATGAGATATTAACAGTTCTACTTTTTCCTATGTATTTTCTTCATAGCGACCTCCATTACTCGATGTAGTATAAACTACTTCCTGACCACCAGTTGTTATGGAACTTTCCCATCATCCTGGGAATTCCTCTTGTTTCTTGTGTTAGAGTCACTGTTTGCCAGACACTGCTTTCTCCTTCTTGGTTGGCTCTCTTGTTCTGATGGAGCTCAAAATCTAATAACCTCTTCGAAAAGAAAGCACACATAAAGTACATTTTTATTTTAGTTTACCTAAGAATAACTTTATTCAAGCATCTATCATCTTTATTATCATTTAAATTATGGTTGATCATTTATCCAGGTATTCTAGATTGAATTCTAGATTAGAAATGTTTTCTGCTCACAATTTGAAGGCTTTCTTCCATTGTCTTCTAGTTCTCAGTGCTGTTCAGAAGCTATTTTAAGATCTTGTGCTCCTAGTAGTCTGAAGCTTCTACAATATTATGCCTTGGGTAGGTTTTTTGTTTTTTTTTTTTCATTATGCCAAACAATTTTGGATATTTCTTATTCTGAAAACTGAGAATTTTCAGTTATCATTTAATAATCACACACACAATTTTCTCTGTTCTTTTTGTAACTCCTGTTAATCTGTTACAGGGTCACCAGATTGGTTCTCTAATTTTTTTTCTTTTCTTTTATATTGTCTATCTCTCTCTTTAGCTCTTTGTTCTTTCTAGAAAAGTTCCTCACCTGTCTTTAACCTTTTTACTGATTTTTTTTTCTGACTATCCATTTTTAAAATCTAAGAGTTCTTATTTTCTCTTTCATTTCATAATATCCTTTTTTATATATATTTAAATATCTGGGGTACCTGGCTGGCTCAGTCAGAAGAGCTCATGACTCTTGATCTCAGGGTCATGAGTTCAAGTCCCACCTTGGGTGTAGAGATTACTTAAATAAAACTTAAAAAAAAAAAAAAGATCTTAAGTTTTGATCTTTATCTTTCCTTGTCTATTTGTTCTGATATTTTTCTGTTTTATTTATTCTGTTCACTTGGTTCAGTTTTTCCTCTTTAATGTGAGAAGCTTCCCCACACATCTGGCAGTCCCTAGCTGTCTGTCCAACCTAAGAGTAAGCAGTTAAAGCTAACTGAAAGCTCTGTGCCCATGAATGAGACTTGCTGACTGGTGGCCTTCACAGTAGGACAGTTAGGTACAGTTGCTTTTGGGGTTATGGAACTGTCAAATGTCAGTCTTTTTGTCTTGTTGCTGAAACTGATCATTTTCTCCAGAAAAGACCCTCCTGATTCCTGACTGACAGGCAAGGATATAAAGACCATCTCTCAGCATTTTGGAGCTAAAGGAGGGAAAGGATTTCATTATACAGAAAAATTTTTCTATTTTTAGTTCCATACGTCACTCTGTCCTTCTTTATGCCCAATGTCCCTAAATCCAGAATTTCTCTTATTTAAATTATCCAATCTCTTATTGAGGTGGGGAAGGGGTGGTTGCCTGATCACACTGGGGGGGTATAATTCAGTAACCACTTTCTGTCCCTACCTCATGCCTGCCATCATGTTATATTCTGTCCCCCCATTTTCTTTCGTTAGTCTCAGCTAGTCTTCCATTCCTGGCTGGAGTCAGGGTTGCCATTTCAGCTTTAGCCTAAGCTGGCTGTCCTGGAATGCATGTGGTTCTTTCAGTGCCCCAAAAGTTACATTACTTCTGTGCCAAGTCCCTCAGGAACTACACTGCTTTAAAAAAAGATTCCAAAGAGTTAATATGACATGTAAGATCATCACAGCATTGGCCCCATACCCATTTTTTTAAGTACCTAGAAGGGTTATTCCAGACAAAGTTGTGTTCCCAGAGCCTAGTTTTATTGTTGCCAAAGGCCACAGCAGGTAGTATGTAGCATCAGGGTAGACAAAGGTGAGTGGAGGAAATAATCATTTCTGGTTCAACAAGATAGTTATTTACTGTCAAATTATAATCAGAAGTCTGATTGGTAAGCACAGAGAACAAAAGGAATTCATTTTACATAAACTTGTTTCAGTCATCAGGCTACAACTGTATCTACCAAAAGCTATGTGTAGTATTAGATCAGATACTTGAGGGGCGCCTGGGTGGCTCAGTTGTTACTAGTCTGCCTTCGGTTTAGGTCATGATTCTGGGTCCTGGGATCAAGCCCCGCATTGGGCTCCCTGCTTGGCGGGAAGCCTGCTTCTCCCTCTCCTGCTCCCCCTGTTTGTGTTCCCTCCCTCGCTGTGTCTCTCTCTGCCAATAAATAATTAAAGTCTTGGGGGAAAGAAAAAAGATACTTGAGTCAGCTTGATGAGGTCCCTTCTTCCTGGAGCATCTGTTTCATTTGACTTGAATTGGGCGGTTGAGAGGATCCTTTCTAACCCTAAGATTCTGTCAATCTGATGGGCTTTTTATTGACATCACGAGTTCTTTGTTTTTCCCATGAAGTTTCACATTTTCTGCAATTGAAGTGGACTAGAAATGCCACTAGTATGTGCACATGTGTACTGCTTCAGAGCCTGGAGCCTTCTGAGACTTGATAAGGTAAAGCTGCTAAGCACATAACAGCAGCAGTTTTCCCATCTGGCTTCTTTGATATCAGCCAGCTCCCCATTTGAGGGAAGCTAGAGTCAGTTTTTCAGCCTTTAGGTAGGTGTAACTGTTCACAGTTCTAGTGTCGTGGACTGCTGCTACAAAATTCATTTCCTGTGTATCATAGAATGAGAACTACATAGGACCAATGTGAGAAAAAGGCATATCCTGCTTAGAGCAATTTGGTTTTGGTCTTTTTTCAGGGAAAGTAATAGTAACAATCAAGTTAGAGAGCTATATGAATGGGTTCCAAGCACTGACCTGTCATGGACTTTCTTCCTGCAGGATTCCCAGCAAATAATAGATGTACCTTTGACAACTGTTGTGACCTTTGTGGACATTACCCAGAAGCCAGAGCCTCCAAGGGGCCAACCTAGAATAGACTGGAAACTGCCATTCGACTTCTTTTTTCCCTTCAAAGTGGCATTCAGCAGAGGAGTAGACTCTCAGAAAGGCTCAGCCTCTCCCATCCTTATCCTGTGTCTCTTAGTACTTGGAGTTCTCAAGCTAGAAACCAGGTGAAACAAAAAGAACCAGCTATTAATTTTCCCTATGGGAAGTTCGGAGACAGCCTACTTAATCTTGGCTAAATAGGTCCATACCTGCTCGTGACCAGAGGAGAGTGTATAAGATAACAGAGGACCTAACTGAAGGAATGTTTGTATGTGAAAGAAGGGATTTTCGAAAAGCAATAAAAATACCTTATTTGTCATGGTTCTCTGCTTAGGACTGTGCAGACCACCAAGTACACATTAGGTTCTCTACTTCTCAAGCTAGGAAGAACACAAAGAGCCCTGCCTCCAGCCTTCAGCTTGTGTTTGCCTCACTGAAGTTTTGCAAGATCTTCATCCATCTGCTCACAGGCACACTGAGGCCCAGCATTGAAAGGAACGTGCTCCTGCTGTCCCCTGGATGAACTTGGGAATAGATGCCCTCTGGACTTGAGAGGAGCTGAAAACTGCTGGCTAAGGATTTCATCTCGCCTCTCCCCATTCCCTTGGGCCACACTCTGTCCGGGCATGAGTGAGGAGAGCAACTCTTTCTAGTCAGTTTCCAAAATGACTGTGGAATCCCAGACCCCCATTTTTTACTAGCAAATGATCCTACCGCTCATTTCTGTATTTTTCTTCCATTGTGGTGAGGAGAAACAAAACTGAGAGCTTTGTTGTACTAATTCCAGCAGCACACAGAAGCTGACATGTGATCACCTCATGATTATCTATGTGCAGGAGGTTTTAAAAAGTGGGGAAAAACTTTCATACATCGCACAGTGGCATTAAAATAGAAGTACTTGGGCTCTTTTCCTGGGAGTGGAGCTAAACATAACATGATAAGTAAGATTGGTTGGGGAGCATGGAAGGGTGAAGGTGATGCCAGGAGCCAGAGGGTTGGGAGCCTAAAGTGACTGTAGTAGAAACACTGAATGGGCAAAAGAGACACTAAGATATGGGGTAAGTAACATGAGAGCTCATTATATGGGGACTTGAAATACAGGCAGAGAGAACTGGGAGATAGTCTTTTTTCCCCCACAACATATTAATCTGAATCTAGAATTGCCTATACTTAGTTATAATAAATCCTACTTCATGAGCAGAAAATGCTAATTGTAGAAGGCATCTCTGATGGGTTTATCATTTTGCCCACTCCAAGTACCCTGAAAGTAACCTACCTCCCTGGAGGAAAGTGGCAAGGTTCTCATAGCAGTTATTACCAAACCAGGAGGAAGTGCTTCTGTACAAGGGACATTCTGCACAGGGGAGGTCAGGACCTGGGAAGCTGATTGTATGGTTCCCAGTAGAGTCCGTTATGAAGATGTTAATGTGAATTCAGCAGCCCTACCTCTAAAGAGGCCTGTACCAAAACAGACCACAAGCTACTGGAGTATTCAGGGTCTCCAGTTTGGGCTTCTTAAAGGGGAATAAGCTTATGTGACAACCCTACATTATGGAGTAGGAGACATCTAGTTTACTCCCAACAGCCTACAAGTCCTTCTTAGAATCTGATCCCTCTATTTCTTTATTCACATGCTTATTCCCATGCCCAGGTGCTATGAAACCATCCTATCTCTATTTATCTACCAAAAAAATTTAACTCACATACTGTGTAAGTCACCCTTTTAAAATACAAATCAGTGGTTTTTAATATATTCAGATTTATGTAACTGTCACCGCTAATTCCAGAATATTTTCATCACCCTAAAAACAAAGCCCACACTGATTAGCAGTCATTTCTCATTTCCCCTTTCCCCTGGGTTCCTAGCAGTCACTAATCTGTTTTCTCTGTATGTAGATTTGCCTGTTCTGGACGTCTCATATAAATGGAATCATACAGTATATGACCTTTAGTGTCTGTGGCATATTTTCAGAGTACCTCTTGTAGCATAGATGAATAATATTCCAGTGTATGATTATACCACATTTTATTTATTCATCAGTTGATGGACATTTGGGTTGTTCCTACTTTTTTTGAAGTTATGATTAATGCGGCTTTGAACATTCATGTACAAGTTTTTGTGTGGACTTAAGATTTTATTTATTTTGAGTATATACCTTGGAGTGGAATTTATGAGTAATATGGTAGTTCTGCGTTTCTCTTTTTGAAAAACTGCCAAAGTATTTTCCAAAGTGGAAATCCCACCAGCAGTGTGTGAGTATTCCAATTTCTCCACATCTTTGTCAACACTTGTTATTTCTGTCTTATTTTAGCCATCCTTGGGAGTGTGTAGTGGCATTTCATGTGCTCTACCATGCCCTTTTAAACTGTAATACATAGAGATCTTACACCAGAAATCAGCACATCTGTTCTTCCAAGACAGGAATACCTCAAGTGTTCTCTTCCTCTCTGCATCTCTGCTAATTTAATTAGCTTGTAAACATAGTTTCCAGTTATAAGACTACTTAATATACCTTAGATAAGATTTTATGGTTCTCTCTAGTCATTCTCCTTGTAGTAGACCTTCAAGACTTTTTAAAAACCATCTATAGCACAATGCAGTCTTCTTAGTTCCCTTCCTTTATCTCTACAAGTTATCAGCTATTTGATTTACTGCACAAAAGATCTGTATTGTAACCACGTATTCAATTTAAGGAATAAGATTTATTTTAAAGGGATATGTACAGTTTGGATAGAATGAAATTGAAATTCCAGGCAAACATCACCGGGGTGGAGAAACAAGTACTCTCAAAAACTTTCGGGGGGGGGGGCGCCTGGGTGGCTTAGTGGGTTAAGCTGCTGCCTTCGGCTCAGGTCGTGATCTCAGGGTCCTGGGATCGAGTCCCGCGTCGGGCTCTCTGCTCAGCAGGGAGCCTGCTTCCCTCTCTCTCTCTGCCTGCCTCTCTGTCTACTTGTGATCTCTGTCAAATAAATAAATAAAATCTTTAAAAAAAAAAAAAAACTTTCTGGGGAATTATAAACTGGTAGAAACTTGGAGAGAAGGGCAGCTAACTATTTTATAATATGTATCAAAAGCCTTAAAGTTGTTGGTAAACTTTGACCCAACAATTCCACTTAATTGGACATTTTTTAAGGAGGGGAAAATATCCAACAGTGGAGAATTACATATAATAATATCCATAGTATGCAGTGTTGTACAACCACTGAAAATTGAGTAGACTTACCTTCATTATAATATGATCTATCTTTAAATGAACAAAACAGACTACAAAATGGAGCATATATTCTGTTATTTCATTTTTTTAACAAAAGCTATACATGTGTATTTAGGCAAACAAAAGTCTGGAAAGCTAGCATGTCAAAATGGGGATTTTTAATAGTTTTTTAAAGATTTTTATTTATTTGAGGGAGAGAGCAGGAGTGCAAGCCCACAATCAGGGATAGCAGCAAGCAGAGAGAGAAGCAGGATCCTTGCTGAGTAGGGAACATGATGTGGGACTCCATCCCAGCACCATGATCTGAACCAAAGGCAAATGCTTAACAGATGAGCCACCCAGGCCCCCCAAAATGAGGATTTTTTCTTAATAAGCATTTCTGATTTTTATAATCCTAAAACAAAACTATATTCTGAAGAAAACATAAACTCTTCAAAAAAAAAAAAAGCCTCCCCATTTAGTGTATTTAAGAATGTTCTGTATTTATGAGTAACTTCCCTTTTCTATTGATGTATTTATTTGGCATTTTGGGCCTGTCTTTGGAATCAGGGGTTCTGAAATGCCACTCACATAATCTTCTGGGGCACTTTATGAAAATAATGATTCCTGGGCCCTATTCCTCAAGATTCTGATTCACTGATGGGAAAAGGAGGTTCTAAGAATCTATGTTTAAAAGGCTTTCCTGGTACTTCTGATATGCAACCTGGTTTGCAGAACTACATGTGTAGTGTGGCTGAAACGGATTTCATTTAAGTGTCTGTCCGGTCATTGCCAACTCCTGTGATACGTCTGCCTAGCCTACTACCTTTTCTCTTAGAATTCCCATCCCTCAGAGTTCTGCCAAGGGTCGGCCCAGCCCCCAGGCTCACATTACCTGCATGATTCTGCCTCTCCACAGCTGACCAGTCCAAAGCGGAGTCCTGGACCAAGTTAGGCCAGTAAGATTTTCTCTCCTAAGACTTAGGAACTGGACCAAGATGGGAAGTCAGTCAGGAGCCGGCACTAACTAAGGATATTTGAGGGCTGAGGAAGCTGTTTTCCACCAAGCATTAACTGATGAAGAGCCTACCTGAAAAGGGAAAAGAAACAGATGTGCAGAGAAAAGTGTAAAAAAGAGTGTAAATAAGAGAGACCCAGAGAGGAAGTCTGGGTCTTTAGTCTTTAGTCCCCACTGGAAGTCCCCAACTTCCAGTGCCTTGCATCCACCTCTCATAAGATTCAGTTTTACCTCTTGTTCTTGGAAACTGTTACTCCTTCTACTAAACTGCCTTATTTGGATGTTTCTATAATCAACAGTTAAAGAACCCAAGACTAAGATAACTTAAACTAAGATAAACAGTTAAAGAACCCCAGACTAAGATAACTTAAACTAAGATAACTTAAACTAATGCTCCATAACATGTAAAGGAGTAGTCTTCAATCCTGCATTCCTATAGTCCAGTTCTAAATAGTCCACTTCCTTTGTGACTTTCTAGTCATGGCCAGCTCTATTTACGTTTGCTAAGACAAAAGATCCCTCCAATTAAAAAAAAAAAAAAAAAGATATCAGGACACCTGGGTGGCTCAGTGGGTTAAGCCTCTGCCTTTGGCTCAGGTCATGAACTCAGGGTCCTTGGATCAAGCCCCACACTGGGCTCTCTGCTCAGCGGGGAGTCTGCTTCCCCTTCTCTCTCTCTCTCTCTCTTCCTACTTGTGATCTCTGTCTGTCAAATAAATAAAATCTTTTTTTAAAAAAGATATTTTAAAAATCATATGCAGGAAGGATACGATGGCTAAGTTATTTCCCCTATTTCTGCAGAGGCACAAACTAGCTTATATTTCTAGATTTGGTCTCCCAATCCATAGTCACATATCCCATTCCTTTCTCCTCACTGGGTAGAATATTAATAGTAAAATGGTAATAAAAAATAACTAATAAAATAGAAAATGCACAGTGTTAAAGGATTTCTGTATCTTTTCCTCTTAACAACCCTATGTAATATGTAATATGGGATAGACAATGATAGAGTTATTAGTCCATTTCTTATTTGAGAAAACTAAACCCAAAGGAATTAAATTATTTATCAAGTATTTATTGAGTGTCTATTATGTGGTTCTATGCTCAAGATCTTATATTCTAGCAGGGAAGGCAGACAAGCAATTACCTAAGGCAACGTGTGATTTAAGAAAAGAACTAGGAAAGGATTTCTCAAGTAGAGAAGGCCCGTCTCTAATGACTTTAGCTATCCCCATGGTTACCTAATTTGTTTTAAGTTCATGGTAAGAATCTTAAAAGCTGAAGTACCAGATGAAAATTACTGGAAAGCACTTTTACTACTTTTGTGTCCCCAGCCTACTTCAAAGCTAAAGAGCTGACAACTCAACTCATGTTCACTGTTATCTTTCACCTCTAAGAACTACCCCCCCATCTGTTTCCTAACATAGTATGATGCAACATCATCAGATTTGCAAGAATCCCTCCTCTTCTCTCACCACCACCCACCCCAACTTTAAAGTAGTAAGTGA